CTTGGCAAAAATATGTATAGGCAGACATATGCCCAATGCGTTATGTGGTTTCTTGTTTGTTCTTTGAGGCATTCAGCCCTTTTTTTTAGGTGATGCTGAGGCAAAATAAAAGTTTTAGTAAATCTCTGATGTTCTTTTAGATGCTTAGGCTTTTGAATTCTCCTGCACACTGGGTGTTAGTGATAGCTGCTGGAGATTTAACATTTTCTTCAGTAGAAGTAATCCCTGTGCTCCCCAAACCTGCCAAGACACAAACGTGCGCTCAGTTTTGGAGAACTCACGCTGAGCTGATTCAGGTTCCAATTTGGGGAAAGCTCTGTATTCAGGGTGACCCTTGTAAAACATGTGCTTAAAGATCTTCAGTTATACTTAACTTTAGGAGCATGATTAACTCTTGCCTTGAGAAGAAATGGATTTAAGCATGGGGATGATGAGCTTTCAGGAATTCAGTCATAATGCATTTGAAGTGATAACTCCTAGGTGAACTTCCTAATTTTCATTTTATTTAGCTATGAATGTTAAAAGAACTTTGCTGGTTAGGAATAACACTAAATTGAAAAGGGTTACAAGTAAAAACACCAGATGTATGTACCTACTTCTGCATGGAGAAGCTCTAATTAGTGTTTATGAAAGACTTTGTTTTCACTATTTAAAATATTTTATTTTGCTTCTAATCTCCTTAGGCAATCTTGGTGTAAATAGCTTTTATTTGTCAAAAGCATTCATAGTTTCATAGTTTCCTTGAGGTATTCCTTGAGGTAGATTTGATATAGTACAGTATTTTGGACAACACATTGAAATTTACCCTAGGCAACCACCATTGAGTAGTTGGAGAATCTGTTATAACTAAGAAATCCCCCTTCTATCACTGGAGTAGCTCCAAACGGGGAGGACAGAAAGTAAGTTAGAGCCACCATGTTCATTAATTTCACTGTATTGTGAGTTTTGTCCTGCTCTTTTTTCAACACAAATGTTGAAGGGTTCATTTATTTCTTACTTCATTGCGCATTTCACCTGAGTAAGGACTGAACAAGGTTTTAAGATTTGGTTTGGTCTGTTTATTGCTCTAGTGGTAAGAGTCCCATTGGCTTTATTTAGAGCTGGATGGGCTTTTGGTGTCTTGTATACCACTGTTTGCCTTTTTTAAAAAAGTATAGTTGACAACTGTTTAGAAATATAGTACTGTATTTAGTTGCATCACTTTCTGTTTCAGCCATTGACACTTGATTAAAAACACTTTTTCCTGCAATTTTTTGATATTTAATTAATGTCTTAGAAAGCAACTTTATGGTATCAAACATTTCATTTAATTACATTCATTAGTGGCATTTCCAGGACAAGTTTTAATTAAGTTGTACAGTGTAGATCAATAGTCATCATGCATCCATTGCAATTTACAACAAGAATTTATTGTTCTGAACAATTTAATTACAGTAATTGTAATAGAGGCAAATCTCAGTGACTTTGCCATTTTTCTTGCCAACCCCCTTTTTTTCTTCCTTACGATTTTTTTAATTATGAAATTTTAGAGGTACTTAAAATATTCCTATTTGTGTGTGTTTTGCTTGTAAGCTTGCTCCTCCTGTTGCAGTAAGAGAAAATAAACTCTTATTTAGGTATATCCTGAACCCCATAAAGTCAACAAAAGGATTTTTCCATTGATTTCCTGTGGGCTCTTAAGGGATAGCAAGTTTCATAGCAATTGAGAATAACTAGGTTTTTATTATTATTGTTGTTGTTAGGTAGTTACACAGATAGCTAAGGAGATTAGTAAGCTAAATTTTGGTTTATTGTTTATATACGTCAACATCATATACCAGGAGTAGTCTTCCTACTCTGGCAACCCTTCCAGTGAAGCAGCAGAACAAGCTGTAAAAGATAATTTTTTTGGTAACACAAACAAATACCCTTTAAGCAACCCAGTTTCCCAGGCTAGGCACAGAAGTTAAATATATACCAGTTTAACTGATCAGAAAGTAGTTTAAACCTATAACAGAACAGAAGTTCAGTGCACATAAACCAGTTTCAAAACGGCTGAAACTGGTTTAAGATAAACTGGGTTGAATGTAGTATCAGATTTAACTGATTGAGGTCAAACTGGTTTATGGAACTTCTGTCCCAGAACTCAGACTGGACAAAAGAGGTTAGGACATTCTTTCTGAGTGAACATGAAATATACTAACTCAGATGCAGTATCTGTGAGTTTTGTCACAATGCTCCAAGGTCCCACAGTGATCAGCATTATAGGAGTGTCCAAAGTCTCTAAAACGAGAGAGAATAAAACTAACAAGAAAACATTTTTTTTATGCAGCACGGTTAACTTGAGGAACTCATTGCCTCAGGAGGTTGAAGGAGTTGATGGTATTGTCACCTTCAAAAAAGGACTAACCAAATTTATGGATGATAGATCTATTAATAGCTATTAAACAGAACAGTCAGAGATGTTTCCACTGCATCTTTAAACCAGTGATGGTGGGTGCCAAGGAGGGTAATGAGTAGGTGCTAGATCACTAGGTATACCAGGTTCAGTGCCCTCCGTTTTACACATCCACTTATGCCACTGTTGGTGCAGCATACTGGGCCAGATAGGCCATTGGTCTGACTCAGTATGGCACTTCTTGTGCTAGCTGCTGGTTTACAGTGTTGCTGATAGGATCTACACAGCTAAAGGTGGAATTGTGGAATTCAGTCTCCCTGCTGTTTCTATAGACAAGACTTAGGGTGTCTTTCTCAGTTTATAGCTCATAATTTGTGGGCAAAAAACTTAATTTTCTGAGGACTTTTTCAACCAAATCTCTTACTTTATCTGCAATTAATTTTAAGAAAAATCCTATATTTATTTTTTTTAAGTTGCCATTTAATTTAGTTTTATGGTATGTTTTGTGCCATCATACATAACAAATGGATTGTTATGCAATCTTCACGCTTCCTATACATAGATTTCACTGACAATTCTGGGAACAACAGGCACATTTGAAGAAACTAGGTGTTAATTGAAGAAAGCCAGTGATCCTTGTTTATGTCTGTCAGTATTACTGTCAAGTATTACTGTGTAACAGAGCAGGTAATTTATTAAGTAGGTTCTTTGTGATGTCAGATTTACTCAACCAATTAGCACTGTGCTTTTCCAGTTAATTTGCATGCTGCATTTCAGTTGGTGGGACTGCCAGTGATGTGAAAGGGGCTGTATGCATATTGAGTTCTTACTAGTGTATTACTTCATAATTTCTTTACAGACAGAAAGCATGTTTGGTAGGAGAGGCATTATGGGATAATGAGGGTTACAATAGTAGACTATTATGACAAGCTTGGTTTTACACACACATCCCCTTCCATCCTGTTAGGGGTAAATGTTGCTGTGCCTAAGAGTAGTTTCTTTTACAAAGTTGCTAAGAACCCAGCTACTTCCACTGACTTGAAGAACCATGTTCAATGTTTAGCACTTTTTTGAATATCAGTTTATTTATACGCAGGGTTTGAATTACAGTGGGAAGCAGGGTGCTGAGCCCCCACCCCCATAAAAGATGAGAGCTCCCCTGGCAGCTGGGCAGAAACTGCTGCTTAGCGTAGGGGAAAAGCCCCTTGCCCTTGTTGCTGCTGGGTGCTTTTTACTGCAGCTGCCCAGAGCCCATGCCTAGGCTGCCCTGCGGTTTCTTTCTGCTGCTGCCATCTCCGATCCCTGCAAGAGTCAAACTGTAAATTGAACCCTGTTTATACGCTTATCCAGTGATTTAGAAGACTGGGCTTTGGCACCTGGTTCTAAAAGTCTTGCACTTTTTCTTTTCTTTTTTTTCTTCATTTGTAAATAATTAGTGTGGAATTAAAAAAAAAACCTGGCCAAATGAAAGAATGGCTTTGAGGAGCGATTTGAATATGGAAAGTATAGTTGTGGCATATATGCAAATTATACTGTGGGAAGCAGCTCTGATAACAGTGGAGGAATATAATTTGCTTTCAGTGTAATAGAAAAGTTCCCTTCTACTCTGAGACTTTGCATGACAAGTCTCAGTCCAGGGACCATTTTTATTTCAGATACTTGGATCCCTGGAAACGTAGACTAATAATGGAAAGCACAACAGATTCTTAACTATGGAGACAGTACCAAGAGCGGCTATAATTTTCCCCTGCTCAGTTAAGTGTTTGTAGATTTATTTTTTAATTACATTCACTCTTTGGACTACAGATTTTAGGTAATACAAGAAAAAATGTTATAAGCTTGGGAATAGTTTATTGCTGTTTAATGTAAATTGTTTGTTAATTGCCTGTATGTCTTGCCAGGACAAAATTCAGTGAATTTAGCCACAGCCAAATAGGATGCAATTTAATTTTGAGATGTAAATCCTGACTCTTTAGTGAAGGAGAAGGATGGCCCTTTTCCTAGTGCTGTCCTCTTAAGACTTACTATTTCATAAAAATCTAGGGGGAAACAACCTAAAGTGCCCAATTATGAGAACCTTCTACACACAGAATACTCAAATGATTTGAATTCATTTTTTAAAGTGAGCTGACAACCAGAATAACTTGCATCATTATTTTAATTTACAATTTATATATATATACACACACCTGATAGGGGGACTGGGGTGTGTGTGTGTGCGCGCGCACACACACACACACACACACATATATTACATTAATGCCTAGTTCCCCTATTCAGGTATCAAGGTACTGTTGTATTAAGGTTTTTACATGCTTGTGATAAAAAAAGAAAAGTGCCTCTCAAAAGTCCACGCCCTCAAACACCTTACATTCTAAAGTTCTTATCCTGAAAATACTTAACAATATGTGTAACTTTAATTCAGTGCATTTGGTCTTGGGAGTGATAAAATACATGTTTTTGGAGGATCCTGACTTCAGTAATGTGAGGACTCGTGATGTTTTTACCTTAATGACCTTCTGGTAATCATAAAGGGTCTTAACTGGACCAAGGAAATCATTAGGCATTCATTGAAACATCCATCCTTATGAAAGCCTTATTTTTCTTGTTTCTTTTCAGTGAATTTATTGGACTCACGCACAGTTATGGGGGATCTAGGATGGATAGCCTACCCGAAAAATGGGGTAAGTGTTTCACCTTTGCTTTCTCAGCCACAAGCTGCAAAAATAGTTTCCATTTGGAATATAGGCTTCTGGGTTTAAAATTCCCCCGAGTGATTTGTTGGCAATGAGAAGGGAAAAAAATTAAAACAACAAGCAGTGACTGGAAGAAATGAAGCTGGGTGGCTAGGGATTTTTTTGTTTATGCAAAACAGCCAACCTTGAGTAGTAAAAAATCATGAGAGGTTTTTTGTTTTTTTGTTTGTTTTTTAAATGAGAAATTCCATGTTTTCTACTTCCCCAATTTTGAAAATTGATGATGCATTTATGCCACAATATTACATTGTTTTCTCTCAAACAGGAGGGCTAGAAATTTACTATTTATTCTAAAGGAAAACAGTATCAACCAATCATGTGCCTCCAGAAGCTGGAGCTTAAAATAAACAACCAAACTTCCAAGTAGTTTAGTGGTATAGCTCTTGAAGCCAGTATCACCGTATATGTTTTCATTTATTTTTGAACTGATTCTTGGTCATGTGACGAGACATATGACAGCAGTGGCTTTACTCACATGAGCTGAGAGTGGAGGGAAAGTTATACTTCTATGTGATTTTGAAGGGTGCATCCTCTTGGGTTGGTCCTTGCTGTGGCTTTGTTTTGGTTCAGCTGAAGAGAGAGAATTTAATGATTGATGTCAGGTGCTGCACATTCCTCTGGGTTGCTGAGACCTCTGGGTGGGTACAGACTTTCCGCTTAATACATTTTAAGTGTGCAGAAAGCACTTTACAGCTGTAACTGGATAGATGTTCATGGCTGATAAAGCACTTTAAAAATGGCAGATCCCACTTTAAAGTAACCCTGGATGGATGTGTACTGTCTGCGCCAGATCCCATCAAGGGTTAACTTAGAGTGCGACTGCTGCCATCCCAGGCAGAACTGTGCAGGGCTGTGCTCCAGCCTGTGGCAGAGCTCCTGTACCCCCTTGGCTGAGTCAGTGACAGCCTCTGATCCCAGCCTCACATCTAGCCTGTTGCGGGGGAGGGGGAGTGCGGTGGAGAAAGGGGGGTTTCTGTTTCTACAGTCGCCCTGGCCCCATGGTGCACTGCAGCCTGGCTGGGAGTGGGGGGTTGCAGGGGGAGGAGTCCTTGACTTCAGATGCAAAAGAGAATGCAGAGTGATCAGAGGATCTACTGACCTGCATTTACGGGCCTCACCCACTTCCCACTGAAGTCAAGTCTATCGTTCTTTGACTTGAATTTAATAGGAACTAGTTCTGGCCCTAAGGGTAAATTTGCCCTTTACAATGTTCATGAAGGGATTTAACAATCACACTGTGCTCTCTCCCTGCATGCATGAACTCTTAATGAACAGATCTGTGCATGCTGACAAAATAACATGTTGGAGTATAGATTGAGTAGGAAGATCTCAGAAAAGAGTTTCCTCTTAATTAAAAAATATTTATGGCAAGACATACATATAAATATATATACACAATCTTTACAATATTGTTTCTCATTCCAGGAAGCAATGCTTGAATATTTAGGGGTGCATTGATAAAGATTTTCTTGACGAATACGGCTGGCCAATTATTAAAGCAACCGTATTGGCCAATGCTGATCTGATAACCAATATTCAGTAATAGTGTGAGGCATTTTAAGCTAATGATATAAATAAACCTTTTTGTTTTTTGCTGTGCTCCAGCAACCTCCTGCATCACATGTATCAGCGTCCCAGTGCTTAAAAATAGCGGTAGTGGTGCTGGAACTAAAGCTTGTTGAATGAGCTGATATGAAACACTGCAGCACTTTATTTACTGTGGCTCTCAGAGCCATTCTGATTAAAGCGCCCCTCTCCCTCCAATGGCTGGAGCAGAGCTGAGCAGAATGAGGGCAGATACAGGCTGCCGGCTATGGTCTTGGGGCTGTCCATCCTGCTGCCTTTGCTCTGGGAGCCCCATGCAGGCCATGCATCCCGTGCTCCCCAGCAGTGGGGTCACATCTTGCCACCCCAATGCTGCTGAATGGGCAGGGGACATGTGGTTGGCGCAGGGCTTTCAGGGCAAAGGCAGCAGAGTGGAGAGACTGAACCCTGCAGCAAGCAGCCCGCATCCACCCCACACAGAAATCTGGGGTGGGGGACACATGCCCTGCATTCCTGCTCTGGGGGGGGGATGTGCACAGTGACAGGAAGCTGCCTCTTCTCCCCCTGGATGAGCCAGACGTGACTTCATCCTGCTCCCTGCCTCGGCCTTTGGTCCCATGCATCACCCTGGCTGGGCAGCATCCCCAGCCTCAGCCCTTGCCCCCGCCCCTCTCCCTCCCTCACCATGGGGGTCTTGATTTGGCCATCTTCACACCCCTTCTCTCCCCCAGAGCCCTTCCTCCCATAGACTTACCTGCAGGAAACTGCTCTCCACACTCCCTGGCTGTTCTCCTGGCCGCATGCAGCACCCCCTGTATCTCAGTCCTGGCAGCCCCAATTAGGACCCCATACAGGCTAGAATGCTGCCCACCTGCAAAGGGAAACTTGCCATCTCTCAAGGGAGCCCAGGCATCTGGGAGCCCTGGCCCTATGGGGGAGAGGGAACCCAGGTGTTCAGGTCCCTGACTAGAATGCATAATTATCGGTAAACATAATTGGCTACGACGGGCAAAAAAAGCCAATAGCCAGTCATGTTTTCTCCCCTTTTATTGTTGCTAATCTGATAGGCAAACAATATATCGATGCACTTCTGTTAATATTCTAAAGTACCCTTGTCTACATCGGAACAGAAATCGTGGCAATTTAAATGTTCTGTAGAGAGATTCATGACCAAAGGAAAAATGGAATGTCCAAAACACAGACCTCAGGTTCATTATTGTATGAATTAGACCAACTAGTTATATCAAATACCTGCCCTGCTTTCCACCACGTGAGTGCAAGTCTCAAGGTAGACACATGACCACTGAATCAACTTCTGAGTCAAAAGAGAATTGTATTTAATTAATTTGCCCAAATCTGTAAAAAGTGAATGAGATGGTCAGAACTGGGTTTTTTCTTTTTTTTTGAATTGCCAAAACTCCTTAAAAAGTTCTTTATTTTCATAGGACTTCATAACAATTAAAGAGGTCCGATTAGCCCTGTTGTTTGGCTTTTTGGCCTAATACAGTTGTTTTCAAGCTGTGGTTTGTGTACTGATGGGGATCCATAGACTATGTCTAAGGGGTCGACAAAAGATTTCTATGATTAATCAAAAGTATGTGTATACTTACTTAAAATTCACAGGGGTCTGCACCTCCATTTGAAATTTCCAAAGGGGTCTGCAGCTCACCTCCATTCAAACTTTTTAATGGGTCAACAAATGAAAAAAGATTGAAAACCACTGGCTTAATATATTTGCAGTATTTTTCAAGGACTGAGAAATCTGTGCTCTACCCCACTCCCAAATTTCTCTCTGACACGAGCAGCAACACATCAGCCCTCTCCATTAACCTAATATTTATTTTAAAGATCTACCATATGTAAATATTTTAAATAACTCTCAGCTAGGGATGTGGATTGGGTAGTCAGGAGATTTAATTAAAATAAGATCAGAGAAATATGGTCTATTCTTTAAAAAAAACAGGTTTCCTCACTGAAATATATTTATTCTCTCAGGACATTCTTTGAGAAAAAATTTCAGCACATATGCAGGCAAAAGCACACATAGTACATTATTGCAGGAAGAGAAAGAGAAATCTTTCATCACTGGTAGTGATATTCTGCATGGATATAGTACTTCTTAGAATAAAATCTTTTGATGCATCATATTTAGCCCCCCTCATTAAGTATCTGGGTATAGGTTGTAGCTGTGTTGGTCTAAAGGACATAGGCAGACAAGGTTCTTTGGATGAATCTGATATCTTTTATTTTCTATTCATTTAAAGTATTTTATGTTTTTGTTTTATTTTTATACTGCTGTTGTTCCATGGGTGCTGTAGTTGTTGGCTCTGGATTTAGGACCCAGAGGCCTTGTTCCAGGGGTGGGGGGGGGGCAACCAAAACCCACCCTCAGACCAACCACCACCTTTCCATTTGATAATGGGCAAATTTATTAACACACAGTGATAGCAGAAAAGAAGCAATGCAAACAATCAAGCAATTCTATATATCTACCAATCCTAGGGCTGTCATCAGAGACAAATTACATCTGGCCAGGATGCAGTCTTCACTCTGAGGTTCTTTCTTAGGTGTCAGATGTCAATAGTCTGGAGGTGGGATGCCAAGGCCCACTCCCCCCCTCTAGTGGGGTGGATGACACGGGCTGGTCATGTGCCCTTCATGGTGGCCTCGGGGACCCTTTCCAGGGTCAGGAATGGGGACCCCTCTCAGGGAGGAAGAGGAGGGATGGGAGGGACGTTATGTATCTGGCTGCATGCCACCCTGCTCCCAGCCACCTCGCCCCCTGCCTCCCCCCCCAGCTCTATGTCCAGCCGGCGGGGGTACACTGATCAAAAAGGTAGAAAACCCCTGGACTAGACCATCCTTTCTAATGTTTGTTATTTTTCATACCTGAATGCTTCTGTCTGCTCTCCCTACTATTCCTGAACCCACTCCTCTTACATGACAGAGGTGGCATGCACAGCACTAAGGGCTGGCTGGCTTTACTACTAGTAGTAAAATCTGACTGGAATCTGCATGAAGGCTGTGGAAACACCTGCTTGCAGCCTACTACTTCCTCCTGATCACAATGGTGAGTTTTCTGCAGTGTGTAGGCAAAGGGTGATGCTTCTAGAGAGACAACACAGCCCCCTTCTACAGCCCACAGCCAAGGATTTTATTCTGTCTTTTGGCTTCTGTTCTCAGGGAGGGCAATAGAGTTATACCACATTTGCTGGAGAAAAGAATCTGACATGTATTTTTGAGCACATGCAAAAAAGCTTCCAAAAATAAACATGCATTGTCAAGCTTTCCTTATTAAAAAATGTGCTTGTATAGCATGCACACAAAATCTGGATGCATTTTATACTTTTCCAGCCTGATTTTCTAGGGTGCTGCTAGGTTTC